GAAAACGCTAAAACACACAACCAAATCATAAAATGCGGTAAAATAAAATAAAACACTCGACAATCAAAAGAAAATATAACTGAAATTAATGGAAAATAACTATGTAAAAACCACTAGTCAACAACCTTTGGTGTTTTAAGGCAGTCCTTAGAGGGTTTGAGTTAGCTTATGGTCTTCGTGTGAACTTGAAAAGAGTAGGCTCTTGGGGGTTAATTTAGACCCAGATTTTGTGCAAGCGGCCGCTTCTTTTCTTAATTGTGAAATCGGTTTTGCTTCTTTTGTTTTCCTTGGTATTTCGGTAGGAATTAATCCTATGAGAAGATATGTTTGGAATCTTATTGTGTCCAAATTAAGAAGAAGGTTAGATGGGTGGAAAAATAAGCATTTTTCTACAAGGCGCCTAAAGCAATCATTAAAGAGATTATTATGCTTCAAAGATCTTTTCTTTGGGGAGGTGATGAAGCGAAGAGGAAGATTAATTGGATTGGTTGGGATAGAATTTGTTTATCCAAGAAAGAAGGTGGTCTTGGTGTTACACGTTATGGGAAATTCAACTTGGCTCTTCTTAGCAAGTAGAAGTGGCGCATTTTGAACGAGAACTTCATTTTGGACTAACATTCTTTCTTGCATGTACGGAGATATCAAAGCTTCTATTCTTGATAACGTGGCATTACTTTCGAGAAATAAAATGTCTCTTTGGTGGAGAGATCTTTGTGCAGTTATAAGAGTAAATTCGGAACCAAGGTCCAATTGGTTTTCTCCGTCTATTTCGTGCAAGCTTGGAGATGGAAAGAATATTGATTTTTGGCGGGATAGGTGGATTAGTCTGTCTCCTCTTTGTACCTCGTTCCCGAATTTATTTCTTTTGGCGGATCCTTTTTATTCAAAGGTTTCGCATATGGGGGAGTGGGATGGTGGAGTTTGGTCTTGGGTTATTAAATGGAGATTTATTCCCTCGGCCCAGTTAGCGATTTCTCAACATGGGGAGCTTTTAAATTTGTTGTTTCCGATTCACCCTATTTATTTAAGAGCGGATTCTTTTGTGTGGTGGAGGAATGATCATGGTTTTTCAGTTAGCAATTGTTATAACTGTATTTTGAAAGAAAAAGCGGGTTTTGGGGAGTTTGATGTTCATACCTCTTTGTCTTTGGTGAGTTTGTGGAAGATTTCGGCTCCTAGTAAAATTCAAATTTTTGGTTGGTGATTGATTTGGAATAGGCTTCCAACAAAGATGGAGCTTTTCAAGCGTGGAGTGTTAGGGGCGAACAATTTGGTTTGTCCTCTTTGTGTCGGTGTTGAGGAAAGTTTAGATCCTCTTTTTTTAGCTTGCTCCGTTTCGAAGGCGTAGTGGATAAAGACTTGTCAATGGCTTCGGATAACTTTTCCTTCATATACTTCTCTCATTTTGGACCATTTAATTTTGTTAGAGCACACTTGTAAGTCCGCCTTTGCGATGGATACTGATTAGTTTTTTGGTTTAATCACTTGTTGGATAACTTGGAAATGTAGAAATCATACTCTTTTCAAAGGAATTTATTTGCAAAATTTTGATGGGGTAAGATTGATAAAATTGCTTGCTTGAAATTGTTTTTTTCTAGTTTCAAAATTAAAAATTCTTTGTCTTGGTCAGATTCGTGTGAAGATCCGAGAGGGGCTTTGAATTGATTCTTTTGTTGAATCCTTTATTGGTTGTTTCGGGCTATATTGTTCCCGGTTTTTTCTTTTGTATAACTATGGATTGAGCACCCTTGTGCTTTTTATTAATATCCCATTGCTTATAAAAAAAAAAAAACTTATTGATAAAATAAATCAGGCCAAAACTTATTTTAAAGAAATATATGATAGAAATATATGCTTATATGAAAAGTCTTGAATGCCAAACGAAATGGCTTATTCTGGTGAATAGATTTTGTATCTTTAATAAATCATTTGCTTATTTACGTTTTCAATATTTTAAACTAAGATATATTAAGACATAAGCACATGCATATTTAGAATTAGATTTTCAATTCATTTTAAAGCTCTATTTCAAAATAAACTATATTGTCCACCAGACTCTTTAAAAGGTTAGGTTTACCTTTAAAAAAATATTTACATTATAAATTAAAAAAATTATAAATTCAAATAATATCACCCATAACCGATCGTTAAATAGACTAACAAGACTGTTTTGAAGAGTTGAGTTAAACTTACAACCTAAAAGAGTATTAGAGTCTATCCTAGATCAATTATTGGATCACTAATATTATTCAAGTCTGTCCTAGATCAATTATTGGATCATCCATATTATTCGAGCCTGTCCTAGATTCCTTATTGGATCACTCATATTAACCGAGCCTATCCTGGATCACCCACATTATCCATGTGTCAAACCTAATAGCCTTTTGAATTGAGAGATGTATAGGAAAAATTCAAATCTCATTGACCAAAGATATGATCTAAACAAAGTGTCTAAAGTTAAGGAAATTCTCAGCTTACAAGCTTAAAACCTAAGACCTAAGATGTATTGACCTTTAATGGATAAATAGTATTGGCTTAATTAATGACTATATCCATGCTTGTTAGTTGTATATATGTATATACATTTATCATCTCAAAATTCCAGAGGCACACAATCAGCAATTACATTACATACATTCACATTCTCAATTTCTTCGCATAAATTTTGTATGTAACTTCAACTGTACCTATTCAATGGCAAGTTACAACATATCAGCAAGTTGGTTGACCTTAAACAGAAGCCTTAATTGTGGAAATGAATTTCAAATGAAAACACTTTAAAAAAATGTTTTCTTTCTAATTACCATGGCATAACCAGAATACCGAGGAACCGCGTTGAGCCAACATTACCGACTCAGTTGGGGTTACGAATTAATGGAGAGACTCAGATGACTTATTGACAATGCCGGACTTTTGGAAAAATGGCTGAATCCATGGCAGAAGTTGTTGGACAAAGGTCCATCTTCAAATTCCATGACTTAATATTAGGATTAAGAATCTGCAAAACAAAATAAAAACAATGAAAACCAGGGAGGTATGACAGAAAAACGACTAGCAAAAGTAGATAACTACTGAATTTGAAAGCAAAGAGATGGGTTTGGAACAACAGAAAACAAATGACGGCAAAAGAAAGACGTGTGGTGCAGAACCAATTTAATTACCATGTTCGCAGAAAAAAGAAAGGAGGTTTGGAGAAATACAAGCCACGGAAAAAAGACATGACCTGCTACGTCAAGACTAAAGGATGTGAGAGACAAGACAAGTTAAGGACTTAAGGTTCCAGGGTGCCATTGGCATAGTAGATTGCAAGACAAGTTAAGGTTCCAGGGGTCCGTGGGCATGTCTAGTCAATATTTTGTTGTTAAGTTCTTGGGAATATAATAAATTGCATCCTAGAATATTTTAACCCTTCTATTTTAGAATGTGTGAATTGAGTTTAACTCATTCTTATAAAATCGGTTTGTAAGATGAAGATTGTCCTACTTATAAATATATATTGAGACCACGTCATTTTTAATGTAGAATTCTTCAACACAGCCCCTCGCGCTCAAGAACTTAAGACTAGACATCTAGAACAAAAATATAAATGGTAGGTGACCCGACAACAGAAACCAGATAGCAGATGGTCCAACCGATCTTAGATAGGCTCTGATATCATCTTATAATATGTGAGTTAGGTCTAACTCATCCTTACAAAATTGGCTAATAAGATGAAAATTGTCCTCACTTGTAAACATATATTGAGACCATATCTTATTTAATGCCAGGACTCATCAATACTATTTTTTTCCCTTCCTTCTATTTCCTCGGAATACCACCTTCTATATTTGCTCTTTTTCTCCACATGTTTTCAACTCTTTGGGCTCCATAGCCACCGATTCCTCCAGCAACCATTTAACCATTGTGAAGAGTATTAGAATATAAAATATCTTACTATATCTTTGATATTAAGTGTTAAAAACATTTAGGATAACTCCTAAAAACAGTATACGTAGCTTAAAGTCATAATTTGTTTCACTCTTTATTTAGAATTAAAAGTCATGTATCTCAATAAATAGAGATTAGTATCTTGCATCGAACTTGTATCATATTATTACTTCTCTACTTCTATCTATAAGATAAAACCCCATAACATCAACATCTAGGAATGGCATGCCATGCTATAAAAGGTGTAGAAAGAGAGAAAGAATATGAATAACCAATTAGATGCAATGTGTAGTGACCCTCATATTTATATTAATAGATTAAAATAGTAGTACATAAGAAAGACAAATAAATCGAGTACATATGCTTAATATTAAACCTTAATAATAAAATATTATAATATAATTCTTAATACTCCTCTTAGCATATATATTAATCAAGCCCAATTTGTTACAAATGAAATCACTATGCACCTCATTCAATGTTTTTTAAACAAATCACTATGCTAGTTGATCTCCTCTCCTAACATAGGAAGTGGATATGAAATTTTCTTGAACCTTCTCTATGATAAAATGACAATTTAACTCAATGTGTTTTGTTGAAAGATTGGATTTGATGTAATATGTATGACAGCCTGGTTATCATACCACAATTCCATAGGACAATTATTCTCAAATCCCATTTCATCCAAGATTTGTTTTACCCATATCAATTCACAAACTGTTTGAGTCATAGCCCTATATTCTGCTTCTACACGTGATCTTTCTACTACGTTTTGTTTCTTACTTTTCCAAGATAGCAAACTACCTCTGAAGAATACATAGTATCCTGTGGTATACTTCAAATCCATTGGACATCCTACCCAATCTAAATCAGAAAAAGCCTTCACCTACATATGCCCATAATCTTGGTACACAATTCCCTTTTCTAGAGCTTTCTTCAGATATTTAACAATGTTGATTAGTGTTTCCTAATGAGTATATGTGGGAGAAGACATAAATTGACTTAGAACACTTACATGAAAAGCAATATCAGGTCTTGTAACAGTTAAGTAATTCAATTTTTCCTCCAATCTTCTATACTTTTGTGGATCCGAAAAAAAAAGCTACATCCACAGTCAGCTTAACTTCAGGTTTCATAGGAGTCTCACATGTTTTGGATCTCATCATATCAGTTTCACTCAATAGATCCAAAACACATTTCCCTTGTGAAAGGAAAATCTCTTTCGTAACTTCAATGCCTAAGAAGTACTTCAAGACTCCCAAATCTTTAGTCTGAAACTTGGTTTGGAGGAAAGCCTTCAATTTGTTAATTCCTTTGCTATCACTTTTTGTAATTACAATATCATTAACATACACCACAAGTAAGATGTTTTCACAGTTGTTTTTATTAAAAAATATTGTATGATCACTCTGACATCGTTTCATTTCAAATGTCAAAACCACTTCACTGAATCTCTCAAAACCTAGGTGATTGTTTCAAGTCATACAAAGATTCCTTTAAACGACACACGTGTCCATTCTCCCCCGAACAACAAAACCAGGTAGTTGCTCCATATATACATCCCTTTATAAATCACCATGCAAGAAGGCATTCTTCACATCTAATTGAAACAAGGGACAGTGATGTTTGACATCAAGAGATATAATAACGCGAGTAGATGAAAGTTTAGCCATGGAGAAAAGGTATCAGTATAGTCAACTTTATATGTTTGGTCATATCCTTTAGCAAATAGTCATGCTTTTAAGCGGGCTACGGAGCCATCTGGATTCATCTTGACAGTATACACCCGTTTGTATCCAATAGCTTGCTTGCCTGCATGAAGAGAAACTAAATCTCACGTGTCATTAATCTCAAGAGCCTTAATTTCCTCCTCCATAGCCTGTCTCCAACTATCATGATGATTAGCATTTAAAAGAGATTTAAGAACAAAAATAGAAGTTATGTCAAGATTTAGAAGTATTAGAAGTAGATGACAAAAGACAATAAGACACATAAGAGGAAATATGATGAGTACAAGTATGTTTATCTTTGCATAAGGCAATTGGAAGGTCATTAGCAGAATCTACAAGCACTAGAGGGGGTAGAGGTTGAGTATCTTCTGGGATGTCCTCTCTTGAAACCCGGGGACGACATGAATATGTGTGCTCAAAGAACTTGAAACCCCTTGTAATAGGATTTAGAAGAATATAGTGGGTAATGTTATAAGTCTAGAAAGAATCATCTGATTCACACACTGGCAAGGATGATTGGAACTCAACAAAAAAAAAAGGATGATCTTTAAAGAATGAGACATCAGCTGAAATTAAATAACAACCAAGATTTGGGGAAAAGTAATGATACCCCTTTTGGGTATATGAGAGTAACCCAAAAATACACAGTTCAATGACTTTGGGTCCAACTTAGTAACATGGGAATGAACATCAAACACAAAATATGTACAACCAAATATTTTGGGGAGTAAAGAAAACAAAGAATGAGAAGGAAAAAGGATGAAATATGGGATAACACACCATTTAAAAAAGATGATGGCATGCGATTAATTAAGTGGGCAGCAGTGAATACTGCATCTGCCCAAAAGAACTTTTTGGAATTTTCATCTCAAACAATAAAGCTTGGGAAACTTAAGTGTATGTTCTTGCGCTCAGCAACTCCATTTTGTGTGGAGTGACAATGCAAGATGATTGGTGAATCATATCGTGTTGATTCATGAAACTATTAAATTGTGCAGAAAAATATTCTTTGGCATTATCACTTCGGAGAATGCAAACATGACAATTAAACCGAGTACAAATATCAGGACAAAAAATACAAAATATAAAATAACTCAGATCTGGATTTCATTAGATATAATCAAGTTGCATGGGAATAGTCATCAACAAAAGTAACGATACTTATAATCAAACTTTGAGGTTATTGGACAAGGACCCCATATATCATAATGAATAATATCAAACAATGCTTAAGCCCTTTTATTTAAGTGATAGGTGATGATTAAATGATGAAGTGGAGCAACAACTTTTAGACAAACACTTAGCCAAGAAGTTTGAGATTAAAACCTTAGAAAAATTGTAGTACTTTCTGAGAATTGAAGTTGCTCACTCATAAGAAAGGAATCTTCATACCTCAAGAGAAATACATTATTGATCTTCTGCAAGAAAATAGTAAGTCAGTATGCAGGCCTGCAAATTCATCAATTAATCCAATATTAAAGTTTGAGAACACAAGAAAATGTTGTGGTTGATAAAAAATGTATCAAACGTTTGTTGAAAAACTCATATATCTACCACATATAAGACCTGATGTTTCTTTTGTTGTAAGCTTAATCAGCCAATTCATGAACCAACCAAAGGAGATTCATTTACAAATTGCGCTTTGAATTGTACAATATTTGAAGAGAAAAAAAACAACTCCAAGTAGAGATGGAAGTGTAGGTCATAAAGCATACAATGATGCTAAATATACAAGGTCAATTGTTGATAAGAGATCAACTTCAAAATATTACACTTTTCTGGATGGGAATCTTGTGACTAAGAAGCACAAAAATTATAGTGTGGTATTGAGACCTAGTGCTGAAGCAGAGTTCAGGACAATGACGTAAGGGATAATGCAAACTACTACGGTTGAAAATAATCTCAAATCTTAAAAGACTTGAAGATGAAGAATGATGAATCAAGGAGACTTTATTGTGATAATAAATTTGCTATTAGTCCATAATCCAATGCGGTACGATAGAACTAAACATATTAGAGTTGAGAGACAATTCAGTAAAAAAATTAGAAAATGGTCTTATCCCTACTAAGGGGTTGACAGGCAATCCATATGTCTCTTCTCAAGATAATATTATAAGATTTTGTTTGGTAAGACTATTTTCGAATTTATAGCTTATAGTTCATATGACAATTTAGACTTGTTTGGTAACGATCTTTTCATTACGAACTTATAACTTATTTTACTAGCTTATAACTTATTTTCCAGATGTTATTTCAAATAGCATTTTAGCTTATAGCTTATATAGCTTATCATTTTTCCGTCCACTTTTATCCTTAATGTTTTAACAAAAAAAACCCACTTTTATCCTTTATAATTTATTTTAATTTAAAATGAAATAATTATATATTAAATATTTTTTGTCATTTTACATTTATAAGTTAGTTGAACTATTAATTTTACCAAACACTTGAATCAGCTCATGAGCTCTCAATCTCAACCATCAATTATAAACTATCAGTCTTCAGTCAATCACTATTTTTATCAAATAGACTTTAAATCTTCTAACTAAGGAGTTGACCAACAATAACATTTAAAAGATTACTTTCATGCTAAAAATATAGATATTCATTCAGCAAATTGAAGGAGAATATTGTAAATAAATTTTTATTATTGTTAGTATTAATTGTCAGGCCTATTAAATTAGAATAATCGATTTAAAGTGATTAGTATTTGTGATTAGTATTTGTATATTATTCGTAATTGAAATATATTATTCAGTTTTCACAATATGAAATTATAATTTGTGGACGGGTCTCGTAACTATTTTTATTTTCATATCAAAAATTTAGGAATATAATAAATTGCATCCTAAATTATTTTGAGCCTTCCTCTACTTATTTTCTTTTTTTTACCAGAGTTACGACCTTCTATAGTTGTCTCATCCATTTTCTCAACGTGTTTTATATTGTCTCCCACAAACAGTATACATTACGTAGTTTAAGATCTTGATGTATTTCCTGAGTTTCCTATTTATTTAGGATTAGGAGTTGTGCATCTCGATAAATAGGGATTAGTATCCTTTATTGAGCTTCTAACAAGTTATTGTTTCTCTCTACTTATATTTAAAGTAAAACCCCATAACATAAATATCTAAAAATGGCATTGACAACGACATCAGAAACACCATTCTATTGTGTTCTGAGGATAACTAGACTAACGTAACCCGCCATAAGAACTCATGTCTTGTATAAAGAAAGTCAAAATTAAAAGTTATGGGACAATTGAGATAACATATAGTTAAGGGGTAGTCAAGTATAAATAAGACTAAATTGAAATACGATGATGAAGGGCTGAAGCTTGATCAATACCAAGAAAAATGCAATATGGTGAGGTGTTTTGGGAAGCGTCATATTTAGAGAGATGAGAGGGATTACAAAAGCTAGCATTGTAATCTTAAATCCAATCCAATCCAATATCTCGCATATGTAGGGTAAAATAGGAAGACAATATGTTTAGCGTATCAACAACAGTGAATGAAGAGTGCATATATTTACATAAAAGAGAGAATTTTTCCAAAGTTATATTTAGATACCGTAAAACAAAAGGAATGGAATATAATGGAGTAGAATGGAATAAAGATGTCATTTTATTGATTGGGTATTTTAAGATAGAATAGAACAATCTTGGCATTCCGCCCAAATCAGAGATATAAAAAATATTAGAAAGTAACATGGGATGGAGTGCATTCTATCATATTCCGCTTCATTCTGTCTTTTATAATCAATCCATACAATGAAACATGAGTTTATACTATTTCATTCCATCATACTCTATTCCATTCCATCAATCGAAATATAGCATAAGGAAAATGCATAAAGCCAGAAACTACTAAATGCATGTTTGGTTTGACTTTTGGAAAGGCCAAAACAATTTTAAAAGTGTAGAATTGATTCTGGGTGATTTTGAAATGTTAGGTTAGGCAAAAGTAAAATTAATTGTCTCCAAAATTGATTCTACCTGAAGCTAGAATTTGTAGCTTCTGCCTCCAGAATTGATTTTAGATAATTTTTACACTAAAATTTATTGTCTAACTCATTTTTACATAAATGTATCCAAACATAAACCAATTCTGTTAAACTCAATTCTGATAAAATCAATTCTACCAAACTCAATTATGTTAAAATCAATTATGTTCGCTGTCAATCCAAACACACTCTAAACCTATCTAAAACAACTATATCAATGATAACAATTTACAAGTGAAAGTTACAGATCACATTATCCCAAGTCATTCAGTTTAAATATTTCCGGTCCGTAATGCAAAATAATGAAGAAATAGAAGGGAGTATAAACCATAGAATTCAAATTAGATGTCTGAAATGGAGGAGAGCTTCAGAGATTTTATGTGACACAAAAGTACCACTCAAGCTAAAAGGGAAATTTTGTCAGACAGCGATAAGTCCTACAACATTGTATGGGATACAATGTTGGACAGTTAAAAATTAACACGAAAATAAAATAAATGTAGTAAAGATGAAGATGTTGCATTGGATGTATGGTAAGACTACGTATGATAAGATTATAAATAATAATATTAGAGAGAATGTTAAGACACCACCTATAGTAAAAAAGATAATGAAAAATAAATTTTAATAATTTTAGCACATAGAGAGAACACATGTAAATTTTATAATAATAAAAGTAGATCAGATAG